ATTGTAGATTAGGATAATAAATAAGCTGAACATCGAGGATCAAGATCAATCTGTACATATAAATAAATCATATATAAAATAAATAACTTGTACATCTGTAGCGAGAACGGGCAGTAAATTTAGGAAAACAAACATGCTGTACAGCTAGGTAACAAAACAATGTGAACACCTAGTATCAGGAATGTATACTGCCTAGTGCCTGCTAACAGGTATCAGGAATGTATACTGCCTAGTGCCTACTAACAGGTATCAGGAATGTATACTGCCTGGTGCCTACTAACAGGTATCAGGAATGTATACTGCCTAGTGCCTACTAACAGGTATGAGGGAGTGCCTACTAACAGGTATCAGGAATGTATCAGTGCCTGCTAACAGGTATCAATGTATACCGCCCTAGTGCCTACTAACAGGTATCAGGAAATGTATACCTGCCTAGTGCCTACTAACAGGTATCAGGAATGTATCAGGAATGTATACTGCAGGTATCAGCTAGTGCCTACTAACAGGTATCAGGAATGTATACTGCCTAGTGCCTACTAACAGGTATCAGGAATGTATACTGCCTAGTGCCTACTAACAGGTATCAGGAATGTATACTGCCTAGTGCCTACTAACAGGTATCAGGAATGTATACTGCCTAGTGCCTACTAACAGGTATGAGGATAATACAAAATGTGTACAACTCGGTGTCGAGATAATTTGTGCAGCTATAGGGTCAAGAATAAGCTGAAAAACTCGCATAATACATCAGTTGTACATCTGGGTTATACATAAACTCACATCTCGGATAATACATCAGCTGTACATCTGGGTTTATACATAAACTCACATCTCGGATAATACATCAGCTGTACATCTGGGTTATACATAAACTCACATCTCGGATAATACATCAGCTGTACATCTGGGTTATACATAAACTCACATCTCGGATAATACATCAGCTGTACATCTGGGTTATACATAAACTCACATCTCGGATAATACATCAGCTGTACATCTGGGTTATACATAAACTCACATCTCGGATAATACATCAGCTGTATATCTGGGTTATACATAAACTCACATCTCTACATCTGGGTTATACATAAACTCACATCTCGGATAATACATCAGCTGTACATCTGGGTTTATACATAAACTCACATCTCGGATAATACATCAGCTGTACATCTGGGTTATACATAAACTCACATCTCGGATAATACATCAGCTGTATATCTGGGTATATAATTGTCTGCAATAAAGTTAGGGTCGGTCGGGCGATGAGAAACAGAAAATAAATATGCTGCATGCCCGTACTGTATTTCTTGGATGTTATAGCTCGCTGGTCCATATTGTTTCTTAGAAGGTTTCGACGGTTACGAAATAAAGAATATCTTTTCAAACACAAGAATAAATTCATTTCTTCAGACAAATAATGTATTCCGGGTTTTAGGAATAGTCACTCAACAAATTTTAACATCTTCGTAATGAATATGCTCAAAAATTATTAAAAACTAGTAAAAAGAAAACTTGTGTGCTTTTATTGATTTTCGAAAGCGCTTGATAATGTATGGTGGGTTGGGCTATGGCATAAGCTACTCCACAATGGAATTAATGGCAGATTTTTTACACTTGTTCAAAATATGTATGCTAATATCAAATTTTGTGTACTAGTATCAAATAATGATATGTCGGATTACTTCCCATGCTACGCTGGCGTGCGCCAAGGTGAAATCCTTTACCCTCTGTAGTTCTGTCTATTTATAAATGGCCTGGACGAATACCTTATTTGTGATGGCTGTACACAAGTGAGTCTTCGTAACTTCCCGTATATTGATAGGAACGTATGTATTTCATTTATGATACTACTTTATGCAGATGATACAGCCCTATTTGCTGATTCAGCTCCTGAACTTCAGCGTACGTTAGCTCATTCCATACATATTGTAACATGTGGCATCTAGAAGTAAACCTAGATAAAACAAAGGTACTTATATTTGGGAGCGGTCCAGCAAAACACTCCAAGCTAAAGTTCCACTTTTGAAATACTTTGATTGAAATTGTAGATGATTACACTCATCTTGGAGTGACTTTCAACAGAAACGGAATATTTAATAAAACAATAAAAAATATAAAAAATTCAGAAAGCGCATCTAAAGCTATGTTTTGCCTTTTGAAAAAAAACAAGAAATGTTAATACACCTATGGAAGCATTTGATGTGATGACGTCACCAAGCTTGCTCTATGCCTGTGACACATGGGCATGTGAACATTTACAAGTTATTTAGAAGGTTCGTTTGAGATTTCTTAAATCAGCTATTGGTCTAGGCAACTCTACCCCAAATTATATGGTATATGGAGAACCAGTGCGAGAATCAATTCTGAAAGATCAGTTTTACCAAAGCTGGAAAGCTGAGATAGAAAGTAGCCCTAAAGGTTTCCTATTACAAACACATTAAAAATCTCCCAATTTTAGAAAATTATCTTCTCCTGAACGCTGATGTACGTTGACCAATTTTAAAATACAGAACCTGTAACCATAACCTACCTGTTGAAGTTGGCCGTTGTCATGGCATTGATCGTGAAAACAGAACCTGTAATCTCTGTAAATCACCTGCTGTAGCATATTAATTTCATTATTTATTTAAATACCAAGCTTTTATTTAACAAAGAAAGAAATACAATCCCATTAAATACTTATCTTTTCCAAATCTAATGACTTGTAGGAACATGTTTTGAAGCAAAATCTTATACAATCACAAATGTAGCAAAATATCTAAACTTAGTAGATAAAAGTTTAAAAAAAAGAAGAAGATTATATTGTAAACTGTAACTATGTTGTATCTACATTGTATATCTATAATTGTACTTTCTGCCATCTTGCCTTTATATGTTGTAAATGTTTAATAATGCATCTCTTGTACCGCCAAAATCTGTGGGGCTACATAACAGGTATCCGTGACTAAGGAATTCTATTTACTAACAGTTCTTTCTTAACTGGAGAAAACCGTCAGAATACCTGTGTAGAGCTGAAATCTATACCCATATTCTTCCCCAGAAAATACATCAGGACCCTAAACATAATAAGTACCGATGAATACAAATATTGACAGTACTGCAGGTTTAGCAGGATAACAAGTTAGAAACAATTTGAGGTAAGTTTTTAAGTCGTTTCCTTCCTTTAACATTTTTTTTTCTATTTGTCTAATTACAAACTAGTTTTTGGTAATAATTTATTAATAGCTAAAAGGAAATAGCATTTTGGGGCATGAGATAATAATACGAATAATAACAAAATCATGATTTCCAAAGCTTCCCTCAATAACAGCAAGTTAGTGTGCTCCCAAACCCCCATGTTATTTCCTAAGTAAGTTTTGAAGTATTATATTTGGGTAATCGTCTGAGACACTCCAAAAGATTTATCTTTTGCTTTTAAATATATTTTTTTTAATAAAAAACGACAGCTTGCTAGAGTAGTCCATTCTTCTTCAGTGCTTGATGTTGAATAAACATACGGTTTGTAGAACGCTTTACAGAATTATTCTGTTCTCTGTACGGATGTACATGTAGCTGTTCTCCTCAGGAATCACTATTGGTGACAGGTCTAGATGGTGTTTAGTAATTAATTATTTTCAAAGGACAATTATTCTGGTCCATTTGCTATTAAACGATGTGGGAGACCTGGCAACTGTCAGAGTCTCTCACTAACTGTAGTTACCAACGAGTTTAGGTGTACATGTGTATTTGGATTTCACTGAGACTGGTCTAAGGGAAGTAACTCTATCTGTAGGGAGGGTGGGGGTGGGGATTCCAAACAGGAGTGGCAGGGCGCTGTATCTTATGCTGACTAATCATAACAGCAAAAATCTGCGCGAAGTTGTCTTCACGCATACATGTTTACGTTTTATATATTACGTAATGATTACAAGGACGTTTTTATTAGTTTGACGGTTAGTTGACTGAAGCATATTATGTGTTCTTTTTTTTCATGATCGGGTGGTCAGGCTCGCTGGCTTGGTTGACACATGTCATCGTATCCCATCTGCGTAGATCGATGCTCATGCTGTTGATCACTGGATTTTCTGGTCCAAACTTATTGTTTGATTCCAGCGTACAATCGCTAATAGCTGAAAGGATGATTTAAATCCAGCTATGAAACCGTGCAGAAAGCACGGCCCCATGAATGGTGGGCTGTTCCTGCTTGCGACCTTTACCCATATTCATGGAGTGTTGTGTATTACCAGTTTAATATTTTGCATGCTATCAAACAAGTTTTAAATAAAATGTGATAATCTAGTTGTTATACTGCCATTTGACTACAGGAATTTATCCCGTTTGAATAAATTTGTTACTTACAATTTTCTCTCGCTTAAGTATTGCCGATGTGACGATAAATGTCTTACTCACTCACCGTTTGATTGTATTGGTCGCGATTTCTTTAATGGCTTTTTTTTCCTTTACATGTTTTGGGTGTGGCGACAATGATCGTCACACAAATGGACGTATATCACGCGCATGGGAAATGTGGACGGCAACACCATAATAACCTTCACCTTCGACCTTTTGAAACTCGCATCCTATAATGAACGCAAGTGTAATGAATTATGTGTCAAAGTAATGTTTACCCTTTGTCTGGAACCAGTGTAATGACCGGTTTGCATTTTTGAGTGAAAATATTTTTTTCCATCTCTAACAGACATCTTGGATGTTATGAAGGTTTGGTTATGTTATTTTTCATTTGTCGAGGCCCTTGTGAAAAACATTAAGCCGAGAACAAATAACAGTGTTCACTAATTATGTTGAGACAAATAACCCCATTCTCCCTTTCTCGGCTTCCATGTTTTGACAAGAGACCCAATAGTCAGACGTCAGACAAAAGGGACGTCATAAAATGGGGTAAGCCATGATAAACATTGAAAATATTAATCCGTATTTATAAGTTTCGCTTTATAGTTAAACATGGCTGACTCCATTTGCAATAAGAAACTAATGAATTTAACACAGACAATAAATATCATTTCAATATTTTAATTTTGAGGTTCTATTTACAACGACATGAGTTTTTTCAATGAGTATTTACAGATGAATAATATGCAACGATAAATAACGGAACGAGATCATGATACTTTCAGTCATTAGCACTTGTATCAATCTCATGATGGCTGCCTATGAAGACAAGAGTTCCGAGAGCACTAATGTCACTTTTCACTCCTCTGGCGCGGGGCACTTGTTCAGTTCGAGGGGAGGTACTCTTGCATGGCGGACAGGAATGATGATGTAGATGTGATGAATGATCTACGATGAAATGGGCCGCGTCATATCGACGATGGGACGTCACAGCGATGACTGGACTGGATTAGTGTCTCAGTCGATGATTTCTACGATGATAGGGCATCCTAGCCCATGATGTAGCGATGAAACACACGGATGAGTTCACTATGTCTATGAATTAATCTCATATAAAGTCAAGCATCACGCACTTCATTTCTTAGCTGCCTTGGCCTTCTTAGGGGTCTTTGCTTTCTTTGCCTTGGGCTTGGTAGCCTTCTTGGCTGCCTTTGGCTTGGCTGCAGCGGCTGGTTTCTTTGCCTTTGGCTTCTTTGCCTTCTTGGGAGATTTCTTGACACCAGCAGCCTTTGGCTTCCTCACTTTCTTAGCCTTGGGCTTAGCTCCGGCAGCCTTGGGTTTGACAGCTTTCTTGGCCTTGGGCTTCTTTGTCTTCTCAGCCTTGTCTCCGATTCTGAATGATCCGGAGGCACCGGTTCCCTTGGACTGCTTCAGATTTCCGTTCTTGACACCAGCACGGAGAGCCAGCTTCAGGTGAATTTTGGCGGCATTAGCGTCAACTTTGTAGTTGGCCACGATGTACTTGTAGATGGCCTGGCGAGAAGAACCACCACGATCTTTCAGACTAGTGATGCCTTTCTTGATCATGTCACAGTATTTAGGGTGACTTGCTGCCTTCTTTGGCTTTGCTGGTGCCTTCTTCTTTGGTGCCTTCTTTGTTTGGCTGGCAGGAGCGGGAGCGGCGGCGACTTCAGCGTCAGACATTGTGAGACTGTCAGAGAACTGTCGGTAGACTATCAATGATGAAAACAGTTGCAGTATGAAGCCTCCGGTCCGCTCGCAGCTTATAAATACAACGCGCGGACGTCGGAGAAGACAACACGCACTAGGCGCCCGCCGACAGCGAAGCTTTGCCTTCTGTCAGAATATATGTGCTTCCTACACTAACTTTTCGGTCCCCTTTCTCTTCTGCCTGAAAAACAATCGTTATGACAACAATTGTTTTATAGAGTACATATATTAGGCTAATTGAGAGCAAAAGATAATTAACTTTTATTCAATGATAACATAGATATTCCATTTTTAGCTGAAGCGACTGAAGCGTGCTATCTTGATACACTTGGATTTCTTGTCGTATATTTAAGAACTGGTGTATCATTCGACGAACAATTCAATTAAAATATGAAATTCAATCATCCTTCTTTCAGATTCTGTCACTCAACACTGCTGATCGATAGCTGAGTACAAATAACTTTCAGATACATTTCTGTCAACAAGCACAAACTCGGAAATCTCGGCCGCCATTTTCATTATAATGGTAAATGATCGCGTATGTTTTCTAGCTCATTTATTACAAATTACGTAGGCATACGTCAAAATAATAGCAGAAATGCATTCAGAGATGAATTCGTCACGGTATCTTACAATTTGTTCAACTTATATCAACGATGATCTAAAGATTTCAGAAATTTTATCCTGTGACCCGTTTGTTAGGTCATCAGAAAGATGGCGGTTTGTTCCTTTCGTGTCAGAGAAACGAAAACTTGTTTTGGATAAAAGTAATACTTTGTGAATAATGTATTTGAGTTTCGATATAGTACAACTGTACTTCGATGTATTTGGTGTGTTTCAGTGAAGTTTGAATCAGATCCACAGTACAGAAGTCAAGGAATTGTGTGAATATCCACTGCCAACTGACAGGCACGTACAAGCAAAACAAACAATATTAATTTCGAACCGAGATATTCCATTCCATAAATACTATTTCATGTAGCAATATTACAAGAATAAGACGCTGTGTGTAAGTCAGTCATTTTTGAGACTTTCAATTATTTGTTTGACATGGTGCAAGTCCTTGTTTGTTATTTCTTTGTCGTTTTCTCTTACTTGAATCGAGTTTGACAATGGCCTACATACAAGCAGATGCCGGAAAAGCTCTCCCAGTTTGGGATAGGGTAGCAGATGTTCAGGAATGCATGTACATGCAAAAATTAGAGATGCATCGGGAGGTTATTGGCGCACGTGCTCTGACAAACTAATTCTAGCTGTAAATATTAGTGTCAGAGGTAAACATTGAGATTATTTCATCTGGAATCTGCCAAGTCTGTATTGTGATGTAAATTCGTGACGTCACACAGCTTTCTCTGGGACATTGTGTGGTTTCATTACATAAGGTGCTAGATTATTTCTTTTAATTTAATTCCTTCATTTTGTATAATTTAAACATTCATACATTACGTGTAACGCTTAGGCCTATTATTACTGTTGTTTTCCACAACAGATAATTGTTTTAATGTAGCTCTCTATATATTTCTTGGCAACTTCACATATTGGTCTAAAGTTACTATATTTTTGTTTATGTTTGATAATTTGAACATTCAGACACAGCTTATTTTCCATCGTTTTTTTTGTTGTGTTTTTGGGGGGTACGAGTAACGCGTCAACAGACCTATCACGTGATGGAATTAAAATGGAGTAAAATCTAGTGTTTCTATTAATTGTCCATGTCTGGTTCGGCGTGATTGTGCTTTTGAAGATTATGATGGTATTTAATTTTATTTTTATTTCCATGTACGAGTTAAATGTGGAGTGTTTTGCCAAATAGGACAACCTGCATTCTGTTGCCACGGCCGTTCGTTTGAGAAAGGATATATGTCAATTCTTGCCAAATGATTATAAATTTCAAAGATTGTTTAGGCAGGCCGCAGACACGCGGGATTCACTCCGCTGCAGCTGTGTTTACTCGCCTCAGTAGCAAGTTTATACCCTATCCGTAAAGACGGGTTAGAATTGGTCTACAGCAACACATGCTTGTAGTAAGGGGCGACTAACGGGATCGGGTTGTCAGGCTCGGTGACTTGGTGACACAAGTCATCGTATCTCAAATGCGTAGATAGATGCTCATGCTGTTGATCACTGGATTGTCTGGTCCAGACTGGATTATTCACCGACTGCTGTCATATAGCTGAAACATTGCCCTGCCCACGAAGACGTTCTGTACAATTAAAAGTCTTGAAATGTTTCAATCTTCACAGATGGATGGATTTTGATATAATTAAACCCTCACCACTGCCGGTGATTCTCATTCAAAAGGTCGCCCCAAAACGTTTAGTTTGTGATTTCAGGGCGGCATTTTCGGTAACAATTACTTTTGTAAGTGAGAATGTGAAATATAAAGAAAAATAGGTTTACTTCATAGAAGAAGGAAAAAATGTATATCGGTGCCCTTGGAACGTGCAGGTGGGTAATCCAAAGCTTTCATTGCTTCCCAATCCAGTCAGTCTAATACAGTGTTCATACATGCATATGCTTGGCTAGGATCTACTACACCATTATAAACTAGCTTGAAATTCGCCATGAATTGTTTAACTGAAAATATATTAACCGAGGCCAACGCACTATGCTTGGTTGTCATGGTGACAGGGGTTGACGATACTCAGATTCCTCTACAATGGTGGTATAGAAGGTGACATCGAACTACAGACGTCTATAGGATGGGATGGCATATGCTTTTGGCATTGAGCACGTACAGCGAATAATGGAATAGGTCAGCCAGCAAACTGGACCTCGGACTAATGTTGGGGCTGGCCGAATGTGCAGTTCAAACTGAACGATATTTGGAAACGTGATCCGAACTGCCCACGTGACATAATCAATGTTACCCGATGGTTTGACAACCCTGGTTGTGTTAAGTGGAGTCTGTCTTACTATACCCTATCCTGACACTCAGCACACACAACCCCTAACACACGGCTCCAAACACATACTCCTAACACAGGGCTCCTAACACACAACCCCTAACACACAGCCCCTAACACACAACCCCTAACACAGGGCTCCTAACACTGCATACACTAACACATGTCCATTGGCGGATCCAGAGGGGGGGGGGTGGTTCAGGGTTCGAACACCCCATCCCCCCACCACCCAAACTTGAAAAAGACTTAAGACCACATTGAAGATTTTTTTTGCGTTGGCGGAGCCAATGGGGGTTCAGGGGCTTCGAACCCCGACCCCCACCCCTTTCAAAATTCCTGGTTCCGCCTATGCACGTCAACACGCTATTTTTCAATACTTGCTACTATTTCCTTATGCACAAAAGATAAACCCATCTAGCTCAAACCCAGAAATATTACAACCTGTCAAATATTGCGATCCCAGCAAATATGAATACAGCATACAAAGGGTACAGTCCTCGCAGCTGGATGATTGTTCCGTATTGTATCGGTTTGAGCAAACTCGATACAAGTTGAAACCGCTTCTGTGTCGACCTGATAGAAGCGGCCAAGAACACAGCCCACGGCTGAGCCTGTCATGTTCGAAAATACTGTGGCAGGAAGACACCTCAAGTAAATCTAGTGTGCTGTTATGCCTTAGTCACTTGTCTGAGGGGAGAATCTGGACGACCAGTTCTGTTTCAGTGGTATTTAGATCGCCTGTCAGTTTAAAGGGAGATAACTCCACTCGCGTTGTTCAATAGGCATTGATTGGTGTGTGTTAGGTGGTTGTTCTCACGTCAGTGAAACGCAGCGACGTCATGCACGAAGGTCGTTGGTGTAAACATTGAATTTGGTTATGCTACTTTTCGTGTTGAAAGTCTCCATAGTTTAGTGATTACGTCCACAACGCGGGGGTCGACAGGCTACGACATCGCGCTGATCCACAGGTTAATCCGGGGGCTTCAGCCATAAACATGACACAAAAATACAAATGGATCTTACGAATATTATCTGTTATGATGTTCTTAAAACTTCTACATTGATTCAACCTGAAAAGGTTACTTTTAGAATTCACATGTAGCCATGAGTTTTAAGGTGTAAAGCCATATCGAAGTGTAAGACACACATGCACGCACACGAAAACGCACACGTACACGCACACATGCACCTGCACGTACGCACACACTGATACACATCAGGTTTCTATTTGGTATTATTAATCATATTCCGTTAGTTGGTGGTATATGATATTGCATTATTATTTGTGTCACATAGAACTGCATTGTGCGCATCACCTTATGTAAGGAAGCTCGATGTCCACACGTGTGTGTGTGTGTGTGTGTGTGTGTGTTTAGGGCTGTGGCATAGCCTTGTTTGTAATGTTTCATAACACAGATTAAGCAGGCAAGCGTCGACATTAGTCTTAGGATATGACAATACATGTATCTACATTTTCTGTCAAAGGAAGGGCCTCGGTAAGAATCCCATTAACGCTCTAATTTAAAAACTGTAATAATAATATTTTTTTTCATTAAATAAAACAAATTAAGAACCACTGGTGGCACCGTCGGCGAGATCATTCGTGTAAGTGTTATCAGCACAGCAGTTTGACAAGAAAACGTGTTCACAAACACACGTCGGGTAGACGGGCGTCCATCGTCCACAGATCACCAATGTTTCCCAAGTTGGGGGGAACGAGTACCCCATGTACTGTCTGTACATGATGAGTTCACTGTGGTGAATATGGAACTGGTCACCGAGTATTTAACTCAACCCACTGATTGCGTCTACATAACGAGTCCCGTGGGTTGCGAGAATGGGAGCCATTCGTAAATTATCTCCCTTTGACCGTGAAACTTAGAGGTGAGGCGAAATGGGGTTTAACGTCGTACATGTATGACGCTATTTCGCTCATATGACGATGTACATGCATGTATGTGTGGCTGCTTGTACTAGCCCAGACTAGCTGGTTTTATAGTGCTAGCTCACTGAGATACCATGCCGTAGTCAAGCATGAATACCCCACTCAGACACATTATAAATTTATACTGACTCCGAGCCGACCAGTCCTTGTTATACCCATTAATGCCGAGCACCAGGCAGGGAC